CTTCATCAGTGCTAATAATATGATCAATCCGGGCTTACGGATCGAAAGCTTTGCAGTAATAAATTTACGTGGCCGTGTTTCCACAAACAAAACTATTATATGAGGGTCCTGAAGGGGGGGGGGGGGTCCCAATCCCATTTCCCACCCGAAATTTTGGCAAAATCCCAGTCCCAGTTGGATTTTTATTACAAATCCCAGTCCCAGTTATTGAAATCCCAGTCAATAAAAACCCCTTTATTTATCGGTAGAATAAACAGTTTTAAGACCTTTTAAGCAAGTGGCGGACACTTTATGAAATATTAGGGGGGGCTCGTGCCGAAGGCACGGAAAATTTTTAAATTTGAATCCCGGAAATGGCATTTGCAGCATTCTGAGACATGCATAATCAGAAAACCCAGAATTTCGGGCGCCAGAGTATGCCTGTTCTCAGGTAGTGCTGTGAATAATATAGTTAACAACAAAAATCATGACCAAAGACACCAAAAACGGATCAAAATTGTATTTTAAAATACTTAAAACGGTTGTTGTAACAAGTCCCAGTTGTTGTAACAAGTTTGGAACAAGTTGTTAACAACTTGTAACAAGCATGATGGCATTATCATTGTTACAAGGCTGTTCTAACAACTCTGATACAGTCATGATATAACAAGTCAAGAATGTTACAAGGTCATGGTGGTGAAGCTATATAAAACCGGTATTTTAGCCACAATGAACAATATTGTTTAATATATCATGACTGTATCGGACATGGGCGTACGGGAAGGAAAAAATTAGGGGGGCGGAAAGAAATTTGCCCGATTTTTTCGGATTGTGCCCGAGTTGTTTCCAAAATTGTAAACGAGGGGTGATTGTGAAGAAATTCCTATTGAATAGCATATTTCCCACAAATTTGACAGAATTTGTCCTTTATATTTTATAATAATGTGCTTACGACTGTGAAGCAGATATTGTCCATTCAACTGTTTGCCCAGACTGGAAGTTGTAGTATCGGACTTGTTGGAACAACCTTGATAATATCAACAAGGTTGTTACAAGTTGTTGTTAACAGCTTATTTCAAACTTGTTGATAACTTGGGACAAGCAGTGCGAACACAATTAAATTAACTTGTTGGCAGATTTGCTACAAGATGTCAGATTTTTACGTGTGTACACAGGTAAAAACGCACAAGTTGTAACAAACCTGTAGCAGACTTGTAGCAATGCTGTCCCAACAACTTGTCAACAGGATGTGTTCGCACTAGCTTCTTCAGTTCCCAGCTTGTTGACAAGCTTGCTACAAGGTCGTTGAGCTGAACAGACTTGTTACAAGTTGCTCCAACAACTTGTTATCGTTCTGCAATTCACCAATTTGTCAACAAGTTGTTAGTGGCAACCTTGTAGCAACTTGATAAAATAACAGCATTGTTACAACTTATATTGACAAGCTTGCTACAAGCCTGTTGCGAACACATCTTGTTGACAAGTCAGTGAAATTTTTACGTGTGTACATGAAAAAAACCTCGACGTTAATTCGATAGAAAGCTTTGTTGGCCTAAACCATTGCAATCTATTGTAGAAAATTGCTTATATACAGTATATTTGGCGCCTTCGTTCATGATACAATCTTCAGACGGCTTTTGAGAACTAGTTTTATCAATTTTCAAAACTGAATTGCCACTCGTCCGTTATCATCGGCAGGCTGTGCAATTAATTAAATTGTAAATTTTATTTATAAATAGATACGATTGACCTATAATGACAAACATGCATTTAAAGATGAGTTACATTAAGGTCTACTTAGTTGCATATCATTATAGAGGGTGTATAAAAACATGGTGGTCTACTTGACTACTTCGGCATGTTGTTGCGCATTATATATTACGTTTATTCGTTTACTTTTTTCATGCCAATAAAGACCAGACCTTTAGCTGTCGAATGATACCTTTCTTGTATCATTGCGATCTAAAATAGCCAAATACGGTCTGATTTAAAAATGCTACCGCTCGAAATCGCATTTTCCCATCGCGTTGGGAACTATTGTACTGTCTGAAGCCGGGACTGAAGCCGGGACGGAAGCAAGTTTTCTATGACAAGTTTTTATATTTGCCAAGTACACGTGTGTATATGCAACAAATTTTTCTATGACAAGTTTTCATATGACAAGTTTTATTTACTGGTGTGAACGTTTCAGAAAAAGCGGGTGTTTATCGCCGCCATATGACAGAAAAATTATAATAGTCTGCTGGCCAATCACATCAAATGCTCAGATTACTTTGACAAGTTTTCTTTGTTGACCCATACAGACGAACAAAATTTTTACTTTGACTTTTTTTTCTATGACAAGTGCACTTGTTCAAAAAGCTAGCATGCTAGCTTCAAGTTGAACAAGTGCACTTGTCATAGAAAAATTGTCAAGGTTGCGCGTACAGACGAGCAAATAAAACTTGTCACATAAAAACTTGTCATAGAAAACTTGCTCGTCTGTAACCGACGCTTAACAAACTTAGTAAGCTTGATGGCATTATCAGACTTGTTACAAGGTTGTTCTAACAAGTCTGATACAGTCATGATATAACAAGAATGTTACAAAGTTGACGACACAAGATTGTAACAATATTGTTATCATGACTGTATCGGACTTGTTGGAACAACCTTGCAACAAGTCTGATAATGTCAACAAGCTTGTTTATAATTATACAAGGTTGTTCTAACAAGACTGATACAGTCATGATATAACAAGAATGTTACAAGGTTGACGACACAAGGTTGTAACAACACTGCTATATCATGGCTGTATCGGACTTGTTGGAACAACCTTGCAACAAGTCTGATAATGTCATCAAGCTTGTTACAAGTTGTTAACAGCTTGTTCTAAACTTGTTGACAACTTGGGACAAGCAGTGCGAAGACAACTTGTTGATGGGTTGTTGGCAAACTTGCTACAAGATGCGAGTTTTTTACAATGGATCTTCAAAATAGTGAGATTTTTGGGATGATGCATGGGGAAGTAAAACATTTTCCGAATGTACCATTTTTCACTAACGCCTAAATTAAATGTACCGTCATTTGTTAAATGTTCCGGTAATCATCTTTTATCAAAATGTTTGCTAAAACTATTACTTTTTAATCAGAGCCACTCAAATATTTTCGCTGACTACGAAAACAATTTGTCGATAAATCCATTATTTTGCCGACAAGATCAGGGGTGTCACCCCCCCCCCCCCCTATAACGACGGCTCTGCTGGCAGGAATCGACCTGCGGCCCTGCGATTCGGCGGTGGAGCGCTCTAACCGAACTGAGCTACAGAGCGAGACAGTTGTCGAACTCTATCATACTGGCGTCCTCCATATCTTATACCGGAAACACCTCGACAACTGGCCTCTGTAGCTCAGTTGTTTAGAGCGCTGCACTGCATGGAATTATACTGTACTTACTTTCTCGTGTGTACCGTCAGCAAACGTTTTCCTTGATAAGTTTAATTGTTACCCCCCTTGTGCACGGAATGTTGTTAATTTAAAACATTTATCTCATCAATCTGGCAAACAAATAAAACTTGTGGTCGAAGAGAACTTCGCTGTACATAACTTTAGATCAACTTACCACTATTTTCTAAGCAAGTTTATCTTCTTTTTCGCTGTGTTAATTTAGTAAAAATGCATCATGATTCATGTAAATATAGTTAACTGTAGGTACAAATGTACATTTCTCCTCACTGTAGACGTTTTAGACAACAAATGTATGAAGTTATGAACGCCTAACAACAAGCATTCTATTTATTAGTAATATACTGATCATTAACAGCTCGTAAAAGCAATGTATTATTTAAGCGAAGCGTTATTAGGAATCATAAATTTGCATGACAGTTACTGAGGATTGTTTCAAACGTCGCGCCTCTCATGTGCCGAACGCATTAGAAATAATAGATAATCATCTGTTGCCTTTAATGCGTTCGGCACATGATGATTAGAAGCGCGACGTTTGGAACAGGCGTTAGTTTTAATGTTAGACTTGCCGACCCCTCATTGGTTTACACGTGTAAAATATCTCCCAGCTTGTCAAGAAGATGTGTTCGCACTGCTTTTTCCAAATCGTTGACAAGTCTGGAACAAGTTGTTATCATCTTGTAACAAGGCTGATGAGGCCAACAGACTCGCAACAAAGTTGTTCCAACAAGTCTGATATCGTCTGCACGTAACAAGTTGTTAACAAGTTGATGACAGCAAGCTCGTAGCAACTTGTTATGAACAGCCTGTATTAGTCTTGTTGGAACAACTTGTAGCAAGTCTGTTACCGTTATCGACCCTGTAACAAGGTGATAACAACTTGTTCCAGACTTGTCACAACAACTGGGAACATTACAACAGGGATTAAAATAGCGTGTCCTTGTACACACTTTGTGTCCTTGTAAAAGGCGAATGTGCCTTTGTAAATTGAAAAGTGTGTACTTGAAAATATATTAAACTGAAAATATATTAATGTAATCCATGCAAAATGGCCAAAGATTTTGCAAATTCTGTTCTCAGAACTCTGGAAATGCCATTTCAGAGACCCCCTTAAAAGCTCGCGTCTTCGACGCTAAACTTGTGGCTTTGCCACTCGTTCTCGTGAGTCTGCGCATTTATACCAAAAATACGCCTCTGAAGGCAAAGTGTGTCCTTGTAAAAATTCCGTATTTTAATGCCTGCATTACAAGCAGTGCGAACACATCCTAATTTCGGCTTGACAACAACCTTTTTGCAACTTGTTTGCAAATCTGTAACAAATTGCGCGTTTTTACGTGTTGGCGCAACTTTGTAACAAATCTACAGCAATCTGGTACCAATTCTATTTCTGGTTATCAAGAGCAATACCGGATTTTGGTATATGAAATATTATACTATATATGACTATGAGGCATGCATACCAGATTTTGGTATACAGTATATATGTATAGCTCAGTGGTAATTATTCATATCGAGCGAAGGATCATGGGGAGGTAGTTAGTTTTAAAACCCACGCGCGGGAAAACGCGCGCGTGATAAAAAAAAATTCTCCTTGAGAGAAGACAACAGACAACAACTAGGAGAAACAGAGAAATTTTTAAACCATGGCTTATCGTCCTCGCCCAAGAGTTAACAATGAAATCCCATCAATGAGCGACTGGGACAAGGACAAGATGTTTACCTGCCCGTATAATCAATATCATCGCATCACGGCGTTAGTATACCCTGGACATGTCGCGAAATGCAGAAAGGTATAATGGTATATATATTCATGTATGAACAATTTGCATATTTACATTTATAAACTGCCTCCTCCTTCAAATAGACGCGTCAAATTTGATAGCAAATGACATAGTCTTGCAATTTAATCATTAAACTTTACGATCGAAGTATTTTCAAATGATTTCTACGTTTCGTAGCCGTATAACCCCCCAAGGAAAACTCTGGGTGAGTATTTTATAATCGTCCCAAAAATATTTTGATCGACACTTTATAAAAATCAAGGCTTGCAATGTGTAAAACGCAAATTTAATGATTTAAAATGTGTTTTGTTGATAGAGCATTCGATAGCGATGCATGCATAATGCGAATACCAGAAATATCTTGGATTTTATCAAACGTTCAGTATGGCCATCGCTTGTTTACAGACTGCAACACGTGGTCGGTAAAATAGCGGACATAAAGATGTCGAGAATTTTTAAACCTTGTATAGATCCCGACTTTTCTCACAATGATAGCAAAGAGTCGATGTGTTGTTAATTTTAATGCCAAGATTTATAATACAGAATTGAGATTTAATCTCTATTCTCGGCTCATATGTAGTCAATTTTGCTGATCTGGGCAAAAAATAGCAACGTTGCCAAAATGAAGTTTTTATGAGTGGGACTGTCAGTTTTTAAGGGTCATCAAGTGTATTGGTTTTCTGGTAATGCTCTGGCTCGCGCCTGGTTTCTGCCAAATAGACGTCAATATGATGTCTGGGAGGGATAGGGTGAGGTGGTTCGAAAACCCCCGAAATATTCAATGTTACTTTTGGGGAAAAACTGAAGAAAAATCAGTATTTTACTAAAATCGAACCATACTTATACGAATCGATTTGGCATTCACACATGAAAAACTAAAGAGATTTTGTTTGAAATTTGATAACGTCCTCAAAAGCCTTACGTTAAATATCTTGTGTGAGTACTGAGTAGCGTGTTGTGTCTTTTTTACTGTAGTTTTGATTTTCGAATGTATTTTTTTTTTAATTTTTTTTCAGTCGGTTTTAGGTTGGTTTTTTGTAAAAACCGCCTCACGCTAGGGAGGGAGGGGAGTTGTGGGAGACTGTCACAGGTGCTTAACATTTTCCTAATGCCCTAGGATGTTAGCCAGAAGTAAAAAAAAATCCGCGTTTACCTGAAATTGGGAAATTTATTTTAGCCTGAAGCCGGGCATTTTTTTGTGGGTCTGGGGGCATGCGGTTGCCCCATCTCGATTTTTAAAATTTTTGTGTCTTTGAAATGGCATTTCCTGCATTTTGGGAGTAATTTTGAGCAAATGTAGTTATAAACATGTTTTTAACTATTTTTTGGCTGACCCAAATTGGGAAATTGCGACCTCAAGGTAATTGGGAAAACCGCGTTTAACGCGGAATTTGTGACTGCAGCGAACACCCTGTAATGTTTGAAATTTTCTTGGTATCCAGTTAGGATACACAGGGCTCGAAATAACGGCCGATCAACGATCAATGATCGGCAGGAAATTAATTTTGATCGGCGAAGAAGCAATGTTGCCGTTCATCTTGATCGGCAAGAAATATAGTTGAGCATTGACATTGTCTGAAAGACATGCTTACCTGTACGCGGTAAAGACAAATAAAAGTAACATAAAACACATTCAAAAACACGCGAAAAGCTCTTGTTTAGCTGATGCGCGAGTCTTACGACAGGAAAGACCGCAACTATTCTCGCTCTAAAGTAATTTATTAAATTTGCATGAAGTATTGTCGTCTCTTCAACAGTCTGCAAGTCAACAAATGTCGTAGATTTAAACTTGAATTTGAAATAAAGTAATGTTAAACTTCCTGTTCAGATGTGTATTCACTGGCATATTTAGAATTTTTCTTTTCAAGGAAACTTAGGCAAATATGCTCCTGATCGGCCAGATTTTTAATTGATCGGCAAAAAGTCGTGATTGCCGATCACCATGATCGGGAACATTGGGAACGTTATTTCGAGCCCTGGATACAAATCATTCACAGTTTGGTAACCAAAACCAAATTTTAGTATCCTGTGGATATTGGGATACTGCAAAGTTCAGACCCTGAAGTCTGTCCACATCTCTAATGTATGAATTTCTTAATATTTCAGCAATACACTGGGACCGCATTTGCACGTTGCCCGTTTAACGCCAGACACGAGTTCCCCCAGGTGGAATACGACTACCACGTGTCTTCTTGCCCTGACAAAGTAAGTTTTCATTTACTTCGTATTTAAGCTACGGATTCACAAGCAACGTTTTTCTGGCGACGGCAATGCAATAGTGAGAGAGATAGCTTGTGTATCAAAGTGTCCTGTGACAATTATGCAAAGCTAATCCAACAATCCTTGCTGATCTTTCAAACCATTTAATTTTGGGCAAAGTTTATTGCTTGTAGAAAAGCCTGCCATGAGATTTGTCTTGACCAAACTGAAAACCTCATCTTGACAGCAGGGTCGGCACTAGCCCTATTTTAATTGGGGTGTAAATAATTTTGCCAAGCAGAGTATAAGCGACTAAAGGTAAAAAAAATTTCTGAACTTTATATTTTTCAATTTCTCCAACTGATTAATTTTTAATCAGTGTGTCACTCATATATTTTAGTTTTTTCCCTTCTTATCCAACCCCTTTTTTTGTTGACTACGAAAACAATTTGCGACTGGGATTCAATAATTTGCTGACTGCATGATGACTGGGGGGGGGGGCTGTTTCCCTCCCCTCACCCCCTCTAGTGCCACCCCTGCTTGACAGTTTTAAATCAAAGCATTTTGAATAAGAATAATTTGAATTTGAAACGAAAAAAGTCGAGATGAAACTTTTCTCATTTTTAAAAAGTTAGACTAAAATTTTCACAGATGTCCTGACATCACCAAACATAATGTAGGTAAAAATTGATATAACCACTATGTGAATTGATGAAAATCTATTTTTATTTCCCTAGAATTATATTGAGAGAGAACTCACAGCTGGTACGTAAGATATGATAAATACTACCGAGAATTTCAAAGTTTTGTGAATTTTTTAACATTAATTGCTTACCATATTATTGTTTATTTATTATCATTATAATTTTCAGTGTCGGCTCCCAACGTGCATCCATTGAACAATGATTTGAACGGCGTATTCAACTCCGAAGAGGACTGGGAGTCAGAAGCGAACCACGTGGGATTTTCCATTAGCGGAGACGCCTATATGGAACCAGCAAGAACGGCATACGATGAAATAGAAATATACCACGATCAACTAGAAGAGCAAAACGTGGAAGAGCAAAGACTGCAACCAACCGATGTATCTGGGTAATGAAATCATCATTGCTCATGCCAGCAAATAATCATTTCACTTTGAATGACAAATGCCCAACCAAGACAAAAATTGGGCCGACATTTATCACCTTTTCTCGGACAATGGACAAAGTTAAAATTTTCATAGCCCACCCCCCTGGCAAAATTAATATTACGGGCCCCTTGGAAAAATTCTTGTAATGGAAATTTTATATCTTCGTATGTTTTAAATGTTCTGGATTCGTTTGTGATAATTAAGTAGAGTTGTTATGTGTTAAATGGTTATATAAAATCACTAAAACACATTAAAAATAAAATGTGTATTTCATAATTTCCATACCCAGCGTAAACAGAAAGATTAAGTCTGCCGCGGCTGGATTAGGCATTTCCGCGTAAACAACGCAAACAATAGATGAATGCATGCTTTGTTTTACCCACACCCCCCCACATTCCGGCCAAAACTCATATAAGCAGTCCTATTTTCGAAACTTGTCATACCGCCTGATGATTCTTTACTGATGAAACAGACTGTTGCGGAATTTTGAGGTAAGCGAAATTATATATATATATATATATATATATATATATATGTATATATATATATATATGTATGTATATATGTATATATATATGTATATATATATATATATATGTATGTATATATGTATATATATATATGTATATATGTATATATGTATATATATACATATATACATATATACATATATACAGGGCCTTAGCTAGGATTTTAGATCTTGGGCGTGTTTCTAAATGATCAGGGTGTGCACATGTCAATTACCTTGAATAGCCAAATTCACGGTTCTACAACAACGGACAATGCCTGTGGTTGTTCTATGCTTTGCAACCAAATACAAGGCGAGTATATATACTCATATTGCGCACTGACATTAAGTTATTTCAGCAACTCTTGGGGGTACTTTAACACCTTTCGGTTCCCATTATCCATCAAAACATTAAAACATCACGGATCACTTTTGCCAATTTTTTCAACAACAATAGATTTTACAAACTTTCTTATGACGTAAATAGAAAGAAATTCTGTCTGTTGTAATGAACCTACTGTACACGGCCTTATATAAATAATGAAGCCGCGTTCATTTTATCTAGCCGTGTTTTTCCATTTTTGGCCGCGATAACACGGCCAACACGGCCCTCTAGCTAAGACCCTGCATATATACAAGTCCTAATGCCCAAACCACAAGAGCTCTGCAACTGGCCTCTATAGCTCAGTTGGTTAGAGTGCTGCACCAAAATCACAGGGCCAAAAGTTTGATTCCTGCCAAAGGGGCTACAGTATACAGTATACTTGCATTTTTCAGTTCAGGTCTAAAGAAATTTCTAAAATTTACTCTCGAGATTTGCGTCTACAAAACCCTCTAATATTTTCACTTTGTTTCTCTGTGTTGTAGACTGTCGAAAGCCCAGAAAAAGAACTTGAAACGTGCGCAGAAGCGGCGGGAGAAGCACATGGCAAATGGTGATACGAATGGTGATGATGACGATGGCAGTGAGGAAAGTGAAGAATTAACAGAAGCTCAAAAGGATGAAAAGTTGAAACAAATAGCAAAAGAGTATGCAATCCCAGGTCGACCTTATAATTCAGGTGAAGAATTGATAATTTCACCCCCACACAGGGTCTTAGCTAGAGGGCCGTGTTGGCCGTGTTATCGCGGCCAAAAGCGGAAAAACACGGCTTGATAAAATTAACGCGGCTTTACTATTTTTATATAAGGCCGTGTAGGTTCATAAAATAAGGTGGTGCTACTTACAACAGACAGAATTTCTTCCTATTTCGTCATAAGAAAGTTTGTAAAATCTACTGTTGTTGTTGAATTGGCAAAAATGATCCGTGATATTTTAATATTTTGATGGATAATGGGAACTGTATGGTGTTAAAATGGTTTTAAATACCCCCAAGAGTTGCTGAAATAACTTAATATTTTAATCTCAGTGCGCAATATGAGCGTATGCTCGTCTTGTAATTGGTTGCAAAGCATAGAACAACCAGAACAGTCCACAAGCATAGTTGTTGTTGGCGAGCATAACGAGAACCGTGATTTTGCTATTCAAGGTAATTGACATGTGCACGCCCTGGTCATTAGAAACACGCCCAAGATCTAAAATCCTAGCTAAGACCCTGCCCCCACAGCATCAATCACTGTGGCATAACTCCTCCTTAAAGTGTCCACCGGCAAGGGCAGACTGTGGGGGTGTGAGGAGGGGGGGGGATGCATCCCACCTAGTGGTGTCTAGCGATTCCCTAGAGAAGTTCAGCACCGCCCTTAAAAAATCTGGTTGGCGGAACTTCTACTGTTAGCGCATGTCCATTTCTTGAAACGATTTCATTGATTCGTGAGATCACGAGAAAATAGTCAGAATGCTTTAGTTAAATATCCTGGTTAAATATGTAAACATGTTGAGGTTGTTATACAGCCATATTTTCAAATATACTGTACTTTAACAAGCAAATTTACTGTACTGTGCTGTGCTACAGCAACTGTCCAGTCACGCATACGTGATAAAAACCGATATAAACTTTATGAACAAAAGATTTATAATATAGCATTTGTAAATTCTGAACGCTGATTGGCTAAGAGCCGTGTTGATATAACTCAATGTCAACACGGGAAATTTTCTGCCATGCACTTGTAAACACGGAAATTTTTCTTATCCTTCGGGCTTTTGACATTGCTATATTATAAAAAAAATATAAAACATTTTTTCCGTGTTGATATATAGTTATATCAACACTCGTGGAAGTCGGGAAAACTCGAAATTGTATGAAAACACGCCGCCCTTCGGGCGTCGTGTTTCCATACAATTTCTCGTTTTCCCAATTCTACCCGTGTTGATATAACTATATCAACACGGAAAATGTTTTATATTTGTTAAATGTAAAACGTAACAAAACGGCGAACATGCAGATTCGGCCATCTCAAATAATGATAATGTTGGGATAGTTGCGTTGCAGACTGCAGAGGAGAGTTGGCAGTAAGGCTCCCTCATGCACCACCCCATGGAAAACCTGCACCCCTCCTTGCAGATGAGGCTAGATCCGCCCCTGATTCCACAAATGATCAGGCAATCATTGATTGCATTTCCATGTTATTTTTCATTCACAGGTGCTTTTGTCGACTGGGTGAGCATTTTAAATATATATTGTCAAAAACATCGCATCAATCAGCCGAAATATTCCGAAGCATCGAACCCCCACGGCGGATTTGGTTCGGCTGTGGTGGTAACAACGGAGCGGTTTTTCAGCGATGCCTACTGCAATACGAAAAAGGATGCGAAGCACAGTGCTGCCAGAGCCGCGTTGCTCGGACTGAATATCGCCGTCTGTAAGTACACTAAAAATTTGTGCTGGTAATAAGTATGGCTTTTGTATGGTTTCGAGTGCAATTTGGAACTAAAAATGACGTTGAGAAGTCATTAACAAGGAGTTTACGCATGTAAGACGGCAACGTCAGGACGACGGCTATCGACACAATGTCATTAATTCTGTAGGACAAATGAAATGAATAATTTGAAAGTATATCTGGCGTTTCAGACGTCGTCCAAGCTCTATTGACGACGACAAAATGCATATTTTTACGTCTCGTAGAGTACGCCAGCATTTCAAGCCATGACAGGCAATTTTTTAGCAGAGTTGATCAAAATTGCTCTGAAGGTTAAAGCTCTGTTTTACTCGTTCGAAACAGTATTAAATTCATACGAAAGTAAATACATGACAATATTTCCATACAGTGGATATACACTCAGAGTAACATCACACAAACATCTTATTCACCTGAGTACATTACACCAACACAGCAGATTCCATACAATCATTTATTTCAAACAGTTTGTTTAGCCGTCGTCCTGACGCCGCCGTCTTACATGCGTAAACTCCCTAGTCCCTAACTTTGTGGTGTGTGTCCTTATATTTTCACCAATTTTTGGCGAACATTAAACTACTGGTTAAACTACTGTATGTACTTATTTATTTCTTCCTAGCGTTACCTGACCCATCCAGAGCACCCCACGTTGGCGCGCGAAACGTAGTAAGGGCCCGGGAAGTGGAACAGAGAGCTGCGTATATTGAGAGTCAGATGACGCATCAGCCGCGAGTTATTCCTGGATTCAACCCGGCAGCGTCATCTTCACAATCATCAACGCAACACTCTGCGGCATCGGCACAAGCACAGAGTGTTACAACACAAATGGCCGGCATTACAATCCAGGTACTATAACCCTAGCCAAGTTAAGGTTAATTTGTTACACTCGAGGACAGGGCCGCCGAGAGGGGGGAGGGGCAAATTGCCCCGAGGTGCTGGGGTCCCCTGAAAATGTTTTGTTGGGCCCCAGTCTTTTTGTGTGTTAAACATTTCCGCGCAAACGATAAGATATCTGTTTTTTTGGGCTAAGTACCGAAATTTGGCATGAAAAATTGAGATAAAGTCCCTGGAAAGCAATTGCAACATGCTCGTCCGGAGTACGGGACGTTTAAATAGGGGCGCCTAAAAAAATTTTGTCCCGGGCCCCCGCCAACCTCTCGGCGGCCCTGCTCAAGGAAATATTCCAGACAGACTATTGCCCAATCGACAGGGGTTCTGAGGTACCTACGATTTTAACGTCCTTATCCGAGAAGACGCGAAAGTCTAACCATTTAGTCATTTACTGCATGAGGTCAATATAAAGATAGCTCCTCGATTATTGTAAGACCTTGAGTAGAGGCATGACCAAGGATTAGGGATGAGCCGATAAGGAAAATTGCCGATTACTGAGGCCGATTATTTATAAGCCGATTATCGTAACTAATCGGCCGATTAATCGGTACATGCCGATTATTTTGAAAAGCAAGAGAAAAGATGACCAACAATATGAAGTTGTAAATGCGTTTTTTTTTTACAATACACACTACAGTGTATACAATTAAAATCAGCTTCAATCTTGCATGTCAATAGTCAAAGTTTAGCTTCGGCAGATTATGGTGTAAAAACAGGATATTGTCAGCTTTATGTGGAGCTAGTCTGCTGCATTTGTCAAGGTGAACTGTTTGCATGTTTTTCCTCCTCTGATGATTACGATTGGAGCGCCTTTTTCCTGGTAAACTTTACACATTGCTTTCGTGTTGTCATCTTCCAAAATATCAAAATATGTCTAAACTGCGCTTTTTACAGCGTGCGCCATTCGGTTCTGGGCAAAATAATTCCGAGCAATTTCCCCCAACGCATTTTGTTACAAATATCAGGACTTGTTTAAGCCAATCAGAAAACAGAATATGGTATGACTCAACGCATAGGTGTTTTAACTGTTTTTAATGACTTCCTCAAAGCCACTCGCGTGAGTCAAAGACGCGGGTTTTGAGACAAAAGACGCAGGTTTTGCAACAAAATGTGAAAATATATTCGCTTGTATTCAGTATTTTAGGCATGCGCTTGGCAGCGGCAGAAAAAGTCTTACGGCCGACTATTTGCCGATTATCAGGCAATAATCGGCCGATTACCGATCATTTAAAAAATGGCCGATTAATCAGCTTTGCCGATTATTTTCCGATTAATCGGCTCATCCCTACCAAAGATTGAACCCAGCTCTCCCAGCTTGACAAGCAAGCGTGATGACGGCATCGTTTTAATTTCAGGGTTTTTCAGGGCTCGAAATAACGATTCCAACGTTCTCGCAACCTCGTTCCCAGGGTCTCTTCTTCTGGCCTTCTCGATCATGGTGATCAGCAGTTATGATTTTCTGCTGAATAATGAAAATCTGGCCGATCAGTATAGGATACGTTCTATTTATATTGAGAGTCAGTCCTGTTTATATGTTCTGTGATAATGCCGTGGTGTTGCACGGTGTTCGTTAACGACATTAACCATGTTTTTGAGACAATGGTCCTTGCCGATCAAGATGATCGGCAACCTTGCTTCTCTGCCGATCAAAAGCAATTTCCTGCCGATCATTGATCGGCCGTTATTTCGTGCCCTGTTTAATTTTGTTTTTGTTTTAGAATGAAGATGACGAATGGCAAGTTGCAGGAGGGAGACGAAGAGGTAGAGTTCTATAAACTATTTTCATATACGCGGAGGAGTTTTTTAAGTATAAACGTCTGTTTTGAATTGTTGGCAAATACGCATGCGTGTTGACGCATATTTTCAAATCAAAATGGCGACTAGTAGTGTTGTTGTTGATGCTACGTTTGACGACAAAATCACTCATTTGTGGCGTGAGTATCCATGTCTTTATGATGTCCACCGTTTCGTCCATACTTTTCGGCGCGAAGCTCTTAAACGTCTTCGTCTGCGTCACATTAAGAAAAGAAGAAGCAATATTTCTTCTTCGTCTGATGAAGATGAGTCAAACTCTTTTTCGCAAACAACATCGGCCATGTTTCACGAATTGTTTGAAAATACGAGTCAACACGCATGCGTATTTGCCTCCTATGGTCAGCTTTGCACGCGCGCACACTTGGAGGAAATGTTCACTCGTGCACGAAATTATTCAACATGTTGAATATACGGCGCCGATGGCACGCGTGAAGAATAGCGTTCAAAACGCCACCGCACACTGGGGGAACTTGCTTACGCCAAGAGTCACGAGTGAAACTTTGCTAACCTGATAGCTCCAGTGTGCGGCGGACTTTACAAAGATCAACTGCTCGTATTTTAACTAGTACTTATTAATGAGGTTTTAAAGATGATTTAAAGTCCGTTCTGCGCATACGTTCTGCGCAGCCTACATTCCAATGGTCGGGCCCCGACCTTCGCACCTTCCGAACTTTCTTGAATTGAATCTCTAGTCTGTATTCATTTTCAAGCATAGCGAACCAGAAGAGTGTTAAAAATTCAGTATAATATATATCTAATCATATTTTACAACTGTTGCACTGAGTTCAAAATGTAAACAAAGCGTTTGTTTACATTACGGACTTTACAGCATCTTTAAATGTGATTTATTAATTTCATATCTTTTTTAGAACAAAGCCGACCAACTGGGAATAATGCACTGCGGTTAGCAGGCATAGGGCGAGGCCGTGCCAGGAGATAGATTACAACGCCAAACAACCCATGTATGTACATTATGTATGCAAAGAAATTTTAATTATTTTGTACAGTTTTAAGAATCATGGACATGGTGATGTACTTTAAATATCGGCTACATATATATATATAACACCGTGTATAATGACGATGACTGAAAAGTACGTGGTTTGATCAATTCGAGTTCAGCGCCGTCTTGATAAACGAACGACTAACGAGCGCAATGTACGGCTTGCCTCTGCTTTGGCAGATATTAAATGTAATGAGAATTGTCTAACCCTTCAAGTTTTAAAAATAAGGCATTGTTGCACGTAAAATTGCAAAGTTTAAAGGTTTCAAAGTTTCCCGTGAGCACAGTAGGAATTTTGCATAGGTAAGGCCTTGTTTTAGTATACGTCGAATATTGGTTGCGTCGAATGCAATTAAGACCATAGATAATGAGATGATAAACCTTTAAGCTTCATTATCTATTCTTTAAATGGCATTCGCCGCGACCAAAATTCGACGTATAAAACATGCCTTAATTCTACGTTTTGAAGGATTTGTTATAGAAATGTTTGAGGTATAACTGAGTCGGTGTTAAACAATGCGGCAGTTGCTGAAACATTTCTTCCAAATCCTTCAAAACTTAGAATTTACCTATGCAAAATTCCTACTGTGCTCACAGAAACTTTGATAGTGTAATACCAGTCTTGAGCTGGAGTTACACGGGCAACAAAATTGCTGCAACTTGAAACCAAATCTGATTTCAACGCATGTTAAGTAGAAATGTCGACACATGTTGCCTTGTGATTTGTAATTTATGTGTAAACATTTTCAATTAACATGCGTAGAAATCAGATTTTGTTGCAAGTTGCAGCAATTTTGTTGCTCGTGTAACTTCGCCTTTAATAGTGCCTTTACTTTAGAAAGTTTTTGTGAAATACTGGATCGGACACCGGTACTTTTTGGTCACTATATAATATATTATGGGTTTTCATTGCGCATCACGATATAGTTATTTTATTCAGATATACTGGGGAAAGAGGACAAGTGTTTAAATACAGACGAATTAAGGTCGTATATTAGTTTTATATTTTTAGATAATAAAATGTTTGTGTTATTTAAAGAAAATACCGCAACAGCGTGTGGAGAGCTGTTGGCGGTGAGAAAAAATGTGAGAAAAAATGTGAGAAAATAGTTTGTTGTGTTCTTGTAAAATTCATCGATAATTCATGAAATAAATTCAGATTGTTGTATCACATATACACAGCCACTCACAGGCTGAAATGGTCGAATCTTTGATTTATTATTTGTGTTTCAAATCTAGGGGCTGTTATACCACCGTAGTCAGGCAAACTTTTCAGCTTGCCCGGTGTGGATGCACACCATAGATATCTTATATACACTAGATAGTACATCTAATTATTCTGCATTTCAAAAATTGAAGCCGTGATTGCAGACTCAGGATATTCCCATGAAATGAGAAGACTCGTATGTTTTCTATTTCTTAAACAGGGAACTTAAACATTAAGTTAAACCTATTCCAAATACATTTTCAAACTATTCAAATAATGAAAGTTATTGTTGTTTTTTAAGCGTTTATTAGCAAGTGGGAACGACCAACATGGCCGCCATCTATTCAAATGGGGGTAACCGCTGGAATACTCTTGGCTACAATTTTACTAAAAGAATGAATTTATTAACGATTCCCAGCAGCCTTTTGCGCTCGTATTCGACTTTTCCGCTTTGCACGGGGGACAACCTTAATTGAAATAGCTGTATAAGATATCTATGATGCGCACTCAGAGTAACATCACAAACCTCGACATTAACATATTTTCGAAAAGCTGAAAATGTATGGTCAAGCAGATATTTTTTTTTGGGTGGCGCTGGACTTCTCTAGGGGGAGGGGTACTAACAATACTAGGTGGGCTGTGCATTCCCCTACATCCCCACAGTATATGTAGATCCGCCCCTGTTAAAAATCTCTTATCATTCGAAATTGGCTGACTGATTCCAAAAGGATACTCCATCCAGTCGTATTTCAGATCAGTGGATGCAACGGGTTTAGTTCCATCCAGTTAAATATTCCAGTCAGAGTGAGCGCATGTAGTGCGCCCACGTTCCAATGATACCGCTGAATATGGTGGAAAAAACAAAAAAAATAAAATTTATAGAGAAAGATGATAAGTTCGCCTTTTTACCGAACGTTTTCGTGCGAAACCTCTGTAAAAATCCTAACGCGTGTTTTGTGCAAGTCTTTTTATACTTGCAAACCTCGTTATGCGGTTGAAAATCCTGGCACGCACAAGGAAAAAGCGGTTAATTTTGCAAAATCTCATTCACGTGTTCCCACAAAATATCAAAATGACAGTAATCCCGCCATCAAAATTCCTCGCTTTTTACGCAAAACTAAAGACAAAGAACAGATGGACCGATATTATCGCGTGAAAAAGCAATGTTTTGAGGGAAAGTTCGAATCGGCTATCTCGGAGGTGGAAAAATGGCTGTCTTTTGAAGCTGTGAAAACAAGCACTATTTTGATTCTAAACGGCTTGCTGTATTCATTGTTTGAAAATGGGAAGATGGAAGATATTGTTAGATTGAAAGAAACTATGGATAGTTATGATATTAAAGGCGACAGGTCGACTTATATTGTGCTTATTGACAGTTTTGGTAAAATGAAAAATTTTGGAATGGTGTCAAAACTTTTGGAAGATATGAGCCACTTTAACATGGATCCTCACTACAGATCATATATGGTAGCCACTGAGCTGGCTCTCAATGAAACGGATTTTGCAAAAGCTCACAAATATTTTGTACGAATTGAAAGCGTTTATAAAGAAATGCATGATGACTTCTGTGCGGCGTTTATTTTGCAACTCGTTGAGAACAAGGAATTTGCTATTGCGGAGAGTGTTTTTCAAGAGTTTAGAGAAGATAGGACAAGGCTTGGTGATCAGACGTTGTCGGCAATCGAGAGATACTTCCACAGGTAATCTTATCATCAAAACTGTGAATCCTTCAATCCTCTCGCTTGAGAAAAGTTGTGATGTTTTTGTGTCAAATTATTCGGGAATGCAACCCCGCCCCCCCCCCCTTCCCCCCCCCCCCACAGAGGAAATTTCTGCCATCTGGAGGGGGAAGAAAAATTCGTTTCTGATAATAGCAAGTTTATTAGGACATCCAAGGGTAGCCTTTCAGTAGCTCGGAAGAGTGATTTTCATTGGCTTGATTTGACAATTGCTTTTGTGTTTACAACAATGAATCACTTCATTCTTTAGAAAACCCCCATCCAATTGGAGACTACCTTCCGAGGCACTGCGGGGCTTCCCACATCCAAAGGGCCGGTCAACTTCCAATTTCCTCTGTTGGGAAGGTATGGATGTTTTCTGGAATGGCCCGATAAAGTTGGGTACATTTGAGCACATTGAAGCTTACTGGATTAATTAATGTAGGTAAATTTTGTAATTTTTAGTGGATTATTGAAAGCCAAATGGGAAACAAACAGAACAACTCTGTCTACCAGGTGAGACCGCAGGGGAATTGAAGTGCCGAGAGAATGCCGGCATCTAACGCCAACTTCCTGTCGAAGTGGCTTTGCTCGAAATGTTAATTGAATTTTTACTTATTATTACTTATTTTTACTTATTTTTACTTATTATTACTTATTTTTACTTATTTTTACTTACTTATTACTGAACGAGTATTTTATTTTCAAGTAAAAACTAAAACCACTGAAAACGTCATCATTTTCCTTGCAGTGGAATTTGTCAATGTTGCAAAGAGAAATTGGAAGAAACAAAATTTGGAAAATCTGAAGAAAATCTGAGTGTGTATTTCCAGAAATTAGTAAATAACAAATTAAATGCAGGAGGAAGCGTGCATGATGAAGAAATTAGAAGGAAAGATAAACTACAAGAGCTGTTCAGATTGCTGGAATCAGAAGGACCATTTCAAGTTGTTATTGACGGGCTAAATGTTGCCATGCATCCAAGATATGGTCTTGAATTTGATCCGGTAAATACATGCATGTTTTGTATTAAGTGTCTGATTAATTAACATATTGTGTTAAAACGTGTGTCGATGTGCAATGCATATAATTTTTAAAGTGCGTATTTTCTCAACAATCCGTTCTAGACAATCGGAAATATAGTTTCCGATAGTCTACCGATAAGGCAATCACTAGTCATTGGTTAATCACTAGTTTTGTAAGGCAAAATTTTGAAATCAAGTCCCCTGAAAGCCTGGAAATGCACTCAAATTTCCTGAAAAATTCCTGTCAACTTTCAAAAATTCAAATTTCCTGTCCACTTTCAAAAATGCCCGTCCAAAAGACGGATGGATGGGCCTCTGGCTAAGGGCCTGGTCTTAACCAGTATTTAAGTTGCATTACACTCTGATGCTTTACTTTAAGAGGGCCCCAGAGAAGGGGAAAACTCTTTGCCCCAGGCCCCCAGCTCAATAGGGACCCCCAAGGCAACAAAAACTACTAAAATTTCACGATAAAAGATTGCATAACTGAGAATATAAATCCCAGCTGCATTAGTCAAATGTAAAACACCAGTTGTTCCATTTAGAATTACGACTTCATAGGGCCCCCCAAGAAGGTTTGTCCTGGGCCCACAACCTTGTGGCCCTGCCTACCTTATTATTTTACTGGGAGAGTGCTGGTGCTCAATGGGTTAACCAGACTTTAACCTGCTCGTGCATTCCACACAACAATCCCCTGCAGTCGTAGAAGAGAAAGACATGTATGTATGCTGTAAATGTGGACACTGTACAGCCAGCAAGATACCGTAGTCCTCTGACTATAAGCCGTGGGCTTACATTCTTTTGTAAGCGATTTTTGGTGGGGGTGCTTATGTATTGGGGGGGGGGTTATACGTGGACGATCTTTTGTGTTAGTAATGAACAAGTTAGTCATAAACGCACTTTGATTAACATAGTAAGCTCTTAAGACAATGCTATGTTAAAAGACAATGCCGATGTTGAATAATGTAGTGGGCTACTGGGTTTATATTCTGGGGAGGGCTTATATTCTGGGGAGGGCTTATATTCGTGGGGCTTATATTCGGGG